TCTTCTTCTTCTTCTTGTCCTCATCGTCACTCTCCAATTGGGCGGCAAAAGGGAAGGGGTTCTTACGGGGAGGGGGCAGCCATCGTTTGGCTCATCATCGGCTTCAGCGGCTTCCTCAATGGGCGCGCCGCCGAGTGCACAGCCAGGAGGGCAAACCTGGCAGCCATTGGCAGCTGCGATGTGTTCGCAGCCAGGAATTCTGCTGCAGACCTAAAAATGTAAAAGCGGTTAGTCTTATTATAATCCGTCTCTCTCTTTTATTTGCAAAAGGGCATCTTACGGCGGGGGGGCAATCATCACTTGACTCATCGGCAACTTGGGGCTTGGCGTCGCATTGAGCTTTGTAGTCCTGAGCAGAGCAGCCGATTTGAACGCATTCAGGAATCGAGATAAATGCGATGTCCTCATAGCCAGCCCGGCAGCTATCACCGTCAAACGCAGGGACTTGGAAAGGCTTATAGCAATCACATGTCTTCTGCTCATTTGCGGCTGTTGGCGTAGGCGATTCCGCCACAGCTGCAGGCTTTGCATCTTGGAGCTTGGCGTCGCATTGAGTGTTGAATTCTTCTTCAGGACAGTTGAGCTGAGTGCAATCTTTTCCAGCACCAAAGAAAAATGATGTATTTTCATAGCCATCGTCGCAAAAGCCACCGCTGCCAAGGGACCTAAAAGGCTTGGAGCAATCACAAGATGGCTCAGGGCTTTGGCTTTGATTGACGCATTCGCCATCGAGAAGGACCTTGCCTGCGCCGCAATTGGGAGCCTGAGGAGAACCATTTGCTCCAGCTCGGCCGAGAAGACCGTTTGCTCCAAATGGAATGCCGGACTTCTGAGGGTTGCGGATCGCCAGTGGCCCAGCCGCAACTAGGCCAATGGACAAAGTGATGAAGGTGTTTGATAGCTTCATTTTGAAGTGAGATTTTGAAAAACAGGATCTTGGTAGGTAATACTATTGAAAAGGAATGTGTAGTTGTCGGGATGTAGACTGAGCAATGGTCAAGAACTATTCCTATGGTCCTATATATAGTATTTGAAGATGGAGTTCTGGAATATACTTGTTCGGCGTGTGTAGATTAATTACTTACTTAGGGAGGATCTTTACTTGGTTGTATGACGGTTTCACTATTATGTGAACGGAGCTCCCGACGTTTTGCGTGTGGTCCTCTGCCCCTAAATTTCCCAAATTGCAAGTTCATGAGTCTTCACCACATGATGTTTGAGTCCCCCATGACATAGATTTGAAAGCTAAGCCTCTGACTAAAGCTACAAGCCAGCTCGCTCTGCTTTTCCACTCTAAGCTATGTAGTCTAACCCTACTCCTTGCCCCCGCATGAAACGCAAGGGCGACCAGGTCTAAAAGGCATCTCGACCAATTTGCGCAGCGAGCACAATTCGTAGCTTCTTCAATCAACTCTCTGCTCTTCGGGACATCTAGTCAACCATGACTCAGCGGACTCGGTGGAGTGGCTTTCAACCCTGCGTAAACCTGACACAAAAAGCCATAAGCGGCGTCAGTTGGTTGGTGGCAATTCCGGAAGCATCGGACGTTGCCCGGCATCACTCGTTCGTATTGTTGCCTGCACAGTCCAGGATAAAGGGTCAACGTAGTCTAATATGATATTGACTATAAAAACTACAATGGTGGGCTATATTCGGCCAGCTACTTCATCTATAGGGTCGAGACAATTGACGTGCGACTCCAGCTATCACTTACTAAACGAATAATAGCAATGCCAGCAGGACGCGTAGAGATTGCGTCTTGCTTTACGGCGCTGCCGAGTGGGCCAACTTCATACGCTCATTTACATAGCCTTGTCGCACGACTTAGCATCGGCGTCTTACTACGCCGACATAGGCGAGTGCGTAGTTCGCCCAGTGGCCTTGTCGCACGAGTCGGCAACTCGTGCCATCATACCGCGCCGACACAGGCGAGTGCGTGCAGACGCTAGAAGGCTCTAGCACGCTAAAAGGCTATAGACGCTTAGTTCGCCCGGCGGCCTTGTCGGACAAGGCGGCAACTCGTGCCGTCATACCGCGCCGACACGGAGTACATGACTCGGCACTCGTGGCAATAGCGTCTTATAATAAGATAGGGCGGATCTAGCGAGATCTTCGAATGATTACTGGAGACCCTTTCCTCAGGTACGGAGAAGGTAGTAGTGCCTGAATCGCTCTTGTTCCAACACGGGATGGCCGTTCTGTCCGAGTGAGCAAGGCCATTGGCACATTGTAAATACACCCCGGTAGTGTGATGTACGGGGAAACACACACACACACAGACACAGCTTAGTATGCAACACACCTATAACGGTTTTTACGGTAACAGTCCGTCGTTCTTCTAAAAATTACTTACAGCGCTGTACTCTTACAATCGCCTGCAACCAATTTTAGCAAGGCTGCTAATACTCGTTCTTGATAAAGTAAAACAAATACGACCTATGGCATGTAAAACTTCGAGGAGACACCGAATTCCATCAACATAATCATACTACTTCAATGGGAACACGTGGTGGAAAAGCCACATTTTGTTGCTAGAAACTGATTACCTAAGACCCATGGGCTTGTACGGACCCATGCTCTAAAGTTATGGGTTCCCGTTATGGGTTCCCGTTAGAAGGCCTGAAGCTGAGTAATAAGCTGGCGCTAATACCGTGATCCTGAGTTTTTTTTTTTGAGTACTGGCGACTGGCGACTCAGGATACATCGAAGAAGAACCCACAGGGCTGGCCACGGTAGGCCACGGCGGGCCACAGCACAAAGTACCGTCTATCCCCTGTACAGAAGCCGTACAGCCAGTATAGCAGCTATACAGCAGCCGTACAGTGGCCAGTACAGCAGCCGTACAGTGGCTACAGCAGCCGTACAGCCAGTACAGCAGCTATATAGCTACCAGCACCCTAAGTCACCACTTTTGATTTAAGTACTGGCGACTTAGAATAAGGCATAAAAAGGTAGATAAAGAGCCCTTTTTGCCTATGCGAGACGCCCCTGTTAGAAAAGGTACTTCGTTAACCAAGGGGTAGATTGTGGCTGACCGGGGGGTTAAGCAGGGTAGTCAAAGTTATGTATTTTTATGAAAAAAAAAAAAACTACTCGAGTCGCCAGTCGCCAGTACTCAAAAAAAACTCAGGATCACAGTATTAGGAGTATAGTAGGAGTCTTCGGGTAGAGCACACCCTCATAGTCCTGATATTCGTCCCGCGAAAGCAGCTGAATCCCGGCTTCACCACAGCTAGTAACAGCATTAAAGAGAGTCTGGGCCACCATGAATGGTACCCGCCATTTGAACCAGATTTTCCCTTCGGTCAATTCAGTCAAAGCAGGAATAGGCTCACTCCAAAGGTCCTCGAGGCAGGAGTAGTGCAGCACGACAGGCAATTAGGCTTCTGACTTGTTATCCAGCACAGCGATTCACTCGCTGGCAAGACTGGTTGAGGCTCCTATTGTCGACCTTTGAATAAGCGGCTCAATAAGGCTTCTCAGTTCAGCGTCAGATATGTTGCCGAATCCAGTGTCAAAGTCCTGTACCGGAGGCTCGGTATTCCATTCGTTAGGCGTTGTTGGTCTATGGTTCAAACTAGACTATAAATGTTGTCTGCATCCTCAGGAATAGCACATTCCTCCATCAATTGATTTATGACTTGGGTGAAAGAAATGTTAGTCAGCCTTGCTAAAGTCTACACTCAACGACTACCATACCCGAGCGGGAACCTTTGCGGTACAGAAGAGGAGAATGGCCGACTTTTTGGATTGTGATGCAGCTGAATGTTGCTGTTGTGCTATGCGCGCCAGCGAAAAGAATTTAGAAAAGGCTGAAGTCGTCACGTTGGTGAGAAAAGAGACTCTGAAGCAAAAGATGAGGGAGATAGAAACTGCAATAAAGCAGCAGCAGCAGCAGGTGTCACTTAAACTATGGCGCGTTGCATGTCCGATCGATCGTGCCATGCGTCTTTTTTTTTGCGTGCGAGGTTTCCGACGGAGTACTGTCGTTGACCCTTGGGCAGTTTGCATTGGGGTACATTGGGCCTTTATTTATACCCAAACCCAGCTTGCCGTGTTTGGGAAAGCGCAATAAGTGTTGTCCTCTTGATTCATTTGCTGTAAATTGAATAGAAGGCTTCGTAAGCAGCGGATGGACTTATCGCATGTACACGTCTCTCTGTGTCGACGACCGTGGTTCTCAGCCCACGGTTAAGCGTCGTATAAGTTGTATGTCTAGCAAATGTTTGGTTATAACATTATAGTGTAATGTATGGTAGACTATTAAGCGAGGTGCCTGATAAGACGTGATTTTTCACGAAGAATAGTGACAATTCGGAGCATACACTCAATGCAGGACCCGTTGATAGCCCATTTTGATAAAATGGCAATCGTGTCAGCTTGTAGAGTATCAATATCATAGACGTGGCGGATAAGTAGAGGACTATGTGCTGCCAAGGTGGCCATAATAATACAAGCAAAAACCCTGGTAAGATTTATAGTTAATAGTTTTCCTTGGTAAACATTGCTGCTTATTCGAAGCTGTGGGTAAGGCGTCCGCGATACACAATAATATACAAGGACAAACCTCACAAGGCTATTAGACTCACCCATGAATTGTACTCTCTAGGGAGCCGCAAGAAGTGCTAATTCTATACGGGGCCAGCCTGAGGAACTCACGACAGTGATGTAGGCATTTCACAGCATTATCCAGCGTTGCCTGCCGTACGTTACTATGCTTGGGAAGCGCACAAACATGAAACAAGTATGGCCGATAGATGATGTGGCCAGTGGCATTGTAACGCAGCAGAAGTAACGCGTCGTGGACACTAGGCGAGGACTCGTTACATTGAGGCCTGATGTCAATTGGCAAAAGGCTATACCATGCCTGCAGTTGGCGAATGAGCTCCTCTGTTACCTCCTGCCGAGGTAATTCCACAGTAGAAGTAAAGTCATTACTGGCTGTGCTGAAAAGCGGTGTCAGCTTTGGAAGAGAATCAGCTTGGTCAGCCGCCTGTACTTGGGCAGTGTCGTACATGACATGATGGACTCGGTTAAGAAGACGTCGCGCAGACAAGTTGGCAAGCCAAGCTATCATGTTCTTATCAGTAGGGTCGCCGCAGTCTGGAAAAGGCAACTTCTCCACGATATGCTCGACACCGCTTCGAGGGAGGTGGTACTCTGCAAGAAGGTCGCTAATAGGAGTCAGGTGATGAGCAGCTTTAGAGTATGCGGCTGCGAGTCACATACCATTCCTGTAAGAAAATAGCCCAGAATGTACGTAGCATTACTTGATACTCGCGCGGCGGGGCACTGCGCTCCGAATTATGCTGCCTGGCTCAGGGTGTCATTTTTAAGGTCAGCTTTCGTGGTAGAATCGCCAGGCCACTAGCCTAGCTATCGAGACAGCCTGCCTTATGCAAACGTACCGGGCAAAAAACTGCTGTAATGCTGTTGAAGCCATGTGAAGACACTTGGCCGAGATGAGCGGCCAGCACATATAACCATAGTAGAGAGCAAGCAGGCACATTGTTTGTGGTAATAATACGCTTTCGCCGCTGTACTGCATCCATTCCTGCAGTAGTATTTGGCCACAAAGAGCTATAGACGGGGCGTAATCTTTACTCCCTGCGGTAAGAAAATCTCGCTGCTTTCGTGATATGGTTCCTAAAGCTAGAATAATGTAGAGCCTTATATGCACTAGCAGGGGCGGCTGTATTCCTGAGGTGCGCCTTGCGTCGTGAAGTAGAGTCCGTAGCTCGAGAACCTCGTGAACATCTAGGATGCAGTATTGTGAATTGACATTGTTGACAAATTCATCCACCAGCGCGTGGTCGCCGTCATCCGTAGTAAGAGGAAATAGATTGTTGGTATTCAACTCGTTGGAATTGGTCGAGGCGCTCCTCCACGGCAACCATGGGGACGGACGCCTAGACTCGATATGCAAGAAGAAATCTGAAGGATACCGTCCAATAAGTTCGCGTATTAGTGGGAGCTGGAGAAGACTATCAGTTGTGGTGGAATGCCACATAGGTATAACCATAACACCTGGTGACAAGTCCCCGCGGCCCTCGTAATATACCAGCTCCCGTGAGACCTGCGAATGCGGTGAACAGTGTGCTTCAGTAGCGACTATGGGCTGTCTTGCAGGTGTCGAGGTGTGAGAGACTTGCGCAGCGGCAGGTTCATTATGAAGGCCTGTGTGAGGGAGCTGTTGCTGGGACTGGCTAGTGGAGCTTTGCGTCGGACCGAAGTGATTCTGCGATAGCTCTGCAGTGCCTAAGAGCCTGCTAGGATCTGATTCGAATAATGCCTCTCGTGTATAAGTCGGCCGTTGAGGTAATATGAAAAAGGCCTCCTCTAAAGTTTCCAGACGCTCGACGACGCTTTGGAGCAACACAGCCGTCGCTTCCTGTCTGCGATAATAAAGTCAGCTCTTCTGAACAGACTTGTAACCGTTCCGCTATGGCATGTCGCAAAGAGAAGGCCATGATTCCGAGATTAAGTCCCAGGCAATTTGCCTAGGACTTAGTCGCAGGCAGCGTTAATTATTACTAAATTTAGTATAATACGCCTACTAAAATTATATAGAATTTATATAACTTAAAGATAAAAGTATCTTTTACTAAAGGGCCTTATTAACTATAAAAAATAGTTAATAACCTTATTTTTTTCTCCTAATTCCTTAAGTCTTATCTATAACTAAGTCTTAGTTAAATTAGCTAAGACTTTATCTTAAGTAAGACTTTTTAATATATATTATATAAATTTAGGTACCTAATAGCCCTTAAAAATCTTATATATTACTATAGGTACTATAGGCGGCTTTTATAAAGTACTATTATAGAAGAGGGGGGGGGGTAAAGGTAGTAAGCTAATTACTAGAAAGGGCTTAGTAAATACTAAGAACGCCTCTTATAAGGCTATCTTTAGTAAAGGGTATAAAAAGTTATATTCTTATATAAAACGCTAAGAAATCCTACTATAGGGGAGTCTTATATAGGACTAAGAGTTAGTCTTGGAATCATAGCCTTAAGGAAGTAAATAGCCGATGCTAGGGTTGCGGTGCCTACATGTATAATAATCCTTGACCAAAATTAAAGATAGGGTGGTTGGGATTCGGCATGTCTTGCCAGAAATGTTGGAACGGGAAGTTGGTCGTTACGAACGGCATACTGTCTTAGCATATAGCGGCGACGTGATACAAGGGAAAGATCACGAAATCAGAGTCAGCACGCAACATACTCGGTACCGAATCAGTAGATTCCTGCTTAGGTCAGCTTTGTCTGAGCATTACGGTACAGGCTGAGATATCAAGCCCCTGCTGGCCGCCTTAGAGACGGAAGGGGTGGATCCATGGCAAGGGCGTAGCTATCGGATTTGGTTGGCATAAGCCGCGCCGACGCTGCAAGGCGGAAACAGTGGCGCCGGTACTGGAAACATGGCCCGCTAGCGCCGCATTGAGTCGTTCAAGTAGCAAACTTTACTGGTATGGCTTCTCAGACCAGTGTCGGGCATCACGGCGTTTCCCCATTCCATATAGACCCCGCATTACACGAAACGCATGCGGAAACCAGTAGTTAGGCCATAATTCCGAGATTTAGTCCCAGGTAATTTACCTAAGCATAAGTTATAGGTAGTATTAATTATTACTAAATTTAGTATAGTATATCTACTAAAATTATATAAAATTTATATAACTTAAAAATAAAAGTATCTATTACTAAGGGGCTTTATTAACTATTAAAAATAATTAATAACTTTATTTTTTTTTTACTAATTCCTTAAGTCTTATTTATAACTAATTCTTATTTAAATTAAATAAGAATTAATTATAAGTAAAACTTTTTAATATATATTATATAAATTTAAGTACTTAATAGCCCCTAAAAATCTTATATAGTATTATAGGTACTATAGGTAGCTTTTATAAGGTACTATTATAAAAGGGGAGGGGCTAAAGGTAGTTAAGTTAATTACTAGAAATAGCTTTATAGAAGCTAAGAACGCCTCTTATAGGGCTGTCCTTAGTGAAGGGTATAAAAAGTAATATTCTTACTAAAGGCACTAAGAATGGCTACCGTGGGGGAGTCTCCTATGAGACTAAGAATGAGTCTCGGAATCATGGCCTTAGCGTGCTCCGCAGCGCCCTGAAAAGTCAATGCGGGTCACGTCAAGGCGGCATAGGCGGCGCTATTAGAACCACTTTCTCGACTATGACTCATAATTATATTGCCTGTGGCCCGTGATTATTGACCTTTTTGACCCGATTGAAGACACTAACTAGGTTTGTGGGTGCGGCGCGTCAATCCAGCAGGGGCAGTCACGCCTGAAATGTTATGCAGGCTTAGTCCGGTGACAAATAACGCCCGAGGCGATTCAGGCGGTGCGAGCACAGAAAACTTGGTCCCGCGTCGGCGGACCGACATGCCGCCCGGGCTTCGCACGTGGCTGGCGGAACAAAAGTCGCCTAGCTGTGGGGTTGGGTAGCGATCGGCGGCCCGGTATAGCGGACCACCAGCCGCCTAAGTTATTGCTGTCGCCAACGCAGCCCGCCAATCCCCACAATCTGCTCTTCCGGAGTGGAGTTGTCAATTGTTGTGTGATTGCTCTCGTGCCTCGCCACATCGTTGACCGCGGCGTGCATCTCCTCGCAACTCGTCCACATACTGCCCTTCGCAGAGAAGTCTCAGTTTCTCGGTTCCAAGTGAGATCAACTATTACCTCGTACGGGAGTTTGAATATCTGTAGTACGTGAGTCCTACTCGTCTCATGCCCCGCCCCGTCTATCTCCCAAATATATGCCACGTCGCGATTTACCCCTCCGGGAAAAGGCCGGTCACCAACCGTGCCTAGCGTAAATGAAAGCGTTGCCTAGTAAACGCTGACTACGCTATAGAAAGCCTTTATTCTTAATGATTAATACTCTAGAACTTTTTACTTTATATAAAAGCTAGCTCCCTATAGTCGTGGTATCTTAGATAGACCACAGAGTTATATATTAATGACTAAGCTAGGCGACTCCTACAAGTCACGTTAAGGGGATAAGGAGCAGGAATAGAGAGAAGAGCTTATATATGACATGATAATATCGCCGCATCTAATCTCATTTAGTTGGTAAGCCCCGGCAAGTACCGCTTAGTCGTGGCGCGAGTCTAAACGGAGCCTCATCCGGATTCAGCCTGCTACGCCATGCTAACCGGCTCACCGCCTTGCCCGCCCAGTGTCCTGAACACAGCAATAGAAGAAGATACAGGCCCGTTAGCCTAGATTGAAGCAAGCCGAAAAGTTGCTCTTTTCCCATATAATCTCCGTCGTGCGTTATCAGATGTAGAGAGTTACGCGCCCTATTATGGAATCGAGCTCGTGTCAATGGCTTTTTCTGAGGCTCGCAGCATCAAGAAGAGCAGTTTTTTTTCCATACCTTGACCTAGCTACTGCCCGTGACCTAAATGACGGGCATGTCAGGGACACAGGTGCCGATGCAGCCCTCGTAATAGACGCCCTGAAAGTATCGCTCGCAGTCGGCCGGCGCGGTACACTTAAAGCGTGCCGGGCATTCTTCAGTGTTCGAGCCTGTGCCGCAGCGAATAGTGATGGGATCCCGGTGGACGGGTGTATAAGAATGCTTGTCGAGGGGGAACTGCTTCCGCGCGTGAAAGACCACCATGCAGAGGGCGCCGTATGCCGCTATACAAAGGGCACACAGCACCACAGAAGTTTTGGCGAGCATCCTAGCAGATGTAGAAGTCATTTTAAAGAAGAGCTCCGAATAAAAGGAGAGAATTTTAGAACACAAATGTAACAAATTACTATAGATATAAGTTCTACTTATATTATTGTTCGGGAGCGGCTTGTCATTCTAACATTTGAACGTCATGTCGCCACATAATATTATAAGCTAAAAAGAAAAGTGATACTTAGATTATGAGCGCCAAAAATCATGCATGAAACCCATGACTCAAACCTTGGCGAAACGCCTAATCACGTCTATCCCACTTGCACGTTATCTGGTGCATCACAATATCCCAGCGTCTGGTGCCTATGGCACGCCTACACACGGCAGCTGTGTAGATTCACTACTAAATAACCACGTATTCGGGTTGTTGACATGATTTTTGTGAGACGTTAGGCTTTGCCTGAGTATCGTAACCTTTACAAAGATGACCTACTCGCCTGAAATACCGTAACAATTTGGAATGTTGAGCCAAGTAGAAATCGACCGGCGCATCCTGTTGATACGTCGGCGTTCATGTAACAAATTCTGCTTTCTAACCTAGCTAGCGCGACAGCATGACTCTCGGCCACAGCATGACTCATGACTACAATTTGGATTCTGTCTAGGGCACGACTTGCAGCCGCAGTATAATTTCATAACTCGTATTTATAGCTGTTTTACGCCGTTTGCTACCTGTGCTACCTATACTGTAGGTTATTCTCGTGGATGAGTGCCAGAAACACTAGGAGTCGTTTCTAAATATAAAGCCTGACTCTGCTAAAACAGCTAAATATTGACTTAGGGGTAAACGCCTTGCGGAACTAATCAAGCGGAGCTGTAATTATTAAGACGAAGATGCCGTAGCGCAGGGACGGACGAGTCACGAAACAGTCTAGACTAGAGGTGTGGAAGTTTCCGCTGATCCTGAATCGAAGAATGCGTTGGAAAAGGTGGCAGGCGGCGTCTATGCTGACAGGCGGCACGGAAGCCGGAAGGGCAGTGCTCCGTCACCGCGGCATGTATCATGGAGTAAGGCCAATATAGCTAAATAGTTTTAATTAACTTAATCCCTCTTATCCTATATTACTTTATAGTGAATTATCAGGTTTAAAGCCCAGTAGTACTTGAAGAAGCTTCTAAGTTAGCAAATTTAGCTGCGCTGGCTGCCCAGTTCTCCCACCGGTTACACGTAGCAAAAACAGTTACTAGCCTGGCAGGCCAAGTGTCCCGCTAGGGCCGATGGCCGCTGGACGTTTTAGAAAATACAAACAAAAGTCTACTTCTATTTTGTATTGAGCTTGCGGGGCGACTCTTTCTAAGGATTTTCAAGGCTCCGAAAAGCCCCATGTAGGAGTGCAGCATGTGCTTTCAAATCCGATGTGGTCGACCGTGAGCAACGTGTCGTCAGATGTATCCCCCTTATGCTCTGACGAGTCGATTTCGAAAGAGTTGCCTGAAACGTTCGAAGCGTCGCTCGATGTGGCGTAGTGTAAGTGGCGCTGTCTTTTTGGATCAGCATTTGCTTCCGGAGACATGGCAACAAGCCCAGACGAATGCAAGATATTTGCCGTTAAAGTAGATGGGAGAAAATATAAGACGGAATCACAGCGGTGTACATTCTACGGCGCGTGTACGTGTAAGAACGCATCGCGTTGGGAACGTGCTGGAAAAAGCAATGTGATCAGATGAAAGTATTGACTGTAATCGCATTCCGGGCTATATCGTCAGCAGGCGTCGTAAACGGCCACGCACAGGCTGGGTTTAGGAGCATGGATTTGATATCGAGAAAGATGAAACTGGTCGCCGGTTTTGGCTATGCAAAGCATGCCACCGAAAGAAGACAGCTACCACGCACATGTACGATGCCGCCAAGCAAACGGCCATATAGAACACACCCGCCGCATCAACAAAGGTGGGCAAATAGCACTGCAAAGAAAGAGACAACGCACTCTGATCGACATGGTTGGCCTGGATACCGGCAGCCAAAGGATCAAGCATTGATGAATGCATTCGTGGCATCGTTTGGATCCGCTCGACTTCAGCAGCTACTGGTTCGTTAGGTGGCATGCGATAACAATAAAGGTGTTGATATATATATTGTGGGCGGAGCGAAGAGAGTCAGAGTTGAGCTGTCGAGGTTTGCGCCCATCTGGCAGCTGTGGCGTCATCGCCTCCTAAGGTGCCATCTGGTTTAGAATTCTCTTCAACATCAATCAACATAGCCACACTTCTGTCAGGTCTATTAATTCTGCCTGTTCGGTTTCCTCGTAACTCTAGGTCTTTGCTTCAAGCACTACACGAGCAGCGAATTAACTTACAACCCCCTTGCTCGTGTGGCCTTACGGTCTATCGTAGTAGTCTGTCGGAAATGCTTAATAAAACTTAATAGCCCTTACAAATTACCCCTGAGAGATTACATGTGCGGAAGAAGTCTCCTCTTCGAGCTAGGAACGCATCGGCAATACAGAGGTCATTCTGCTTTGAACTCGGAAACAACGCATTGATGTGTGCCGGAACCTCGTATTGAAGGAGCTCGATGACCCGCTTGAGGTACTAGCCGAGGCTATAGTATCGAAGCTTATTACTAGCATACCTTATCGGGACGCTCGGCACGGAAAAGGATTGGTGGGCGTTGACAATTTAAGGGCGTAGAGTAATACTGGGACGGTTGATATTAGCCGCTGTTACATTCTAAGGCGCGCCCAAGAACGGAATGCATTTCTAGCTTTTACGAGCTAGGACAATAACTAACTATAACTTAATAGTAAATATAACTATTAAGTATATATATTTTTATAAAGCGCTAATTCTCTAAAGCTAAGTTCTAAGAGGTTAATAGTATTTTTTATAAAGACTTATAAAAATTTATATAACTAGGTTTAAGGTTTAGTTAGATAGTCTAATATAAGTTTATTATAATATAAGATAGCTATCTATAATCCTTTTCTTAAACTAAAGACTAATGATAATATTAGATATAGGGGATTAATAGATTATTAGAGAGATTAATCTAGGTTTTTAAGTTATATATAAATATTAAAGTATTTTTAAAAATAATAAATTAGTTTACTAATGAGTTAATTATAAGATTAATTAATGAAATAGTAGTATAAGTATTACTCTTAGGTATAGGTTAAGAATTAAGTTTATAGTAAAATTAATATTTTTAATTTAAGTTTTACTTTTATAAGATAAGATATAAAAAGCTATTCTTAAGATATTTAAATATTCTATTAGAAATATAAAACTTTAATATAAAGAGATAAGAATAAATAGAAATATATAAAAAGATATAAAAATATAAGAAAGTAGAAAATAAATATATAAAACTATAAAAAAAGAAGATAAGTAAGAAAAAGAACAATTTTATCTTTATTAAACAAAAATTCTCTTTTTTACTTAAATATAATATAGCTTAACTAGATAACTAAAATACCTTTATAAGTAAGTATATTTAAAAAGAGTAGAGTAGAAATATAAAAAAGGGTAAAATTTTTATTTAAGCTAGTTTATACTTTAGTTGCTTATATCTTCGATGTATCCCGAGTCGCGAGTCTCCAGTACTTGAAAAACTCAAGATCACGGCATAAAGGACATCCATGTAGTGCTCTTTTTTTTTTTTTCTAACAATTTCAACATGCGCTCTACAATCATCTACCGGGTATATCAGCCCTTAATTTTAAACTCTAACACTAGTTGCATCACGTCCTCCTGAACAACGACGGCTTCCATGATCGCACTCTGCTTTTGTACCCGACTGACTTGTTCCTCATGCGAGTCGCGCTCTTCTGTCATCTTTATCTAGCATGACATCAGACTGCTTGCAGGAATCATCTTTTCCAGCGAGTACTTTCAGGCACCACGTCAACTCAGGCTATCGCACAGCTTACTACGCTGACTCTCACGTCACCAGAAGCGCCGCTTTCCGGGCCAAACGCCGCTCAGCGCCGACAGTATTAGGTCTTGTCATTCTGCATTCTTCGTGCTAGCTCGCTAATACATGCCATAAAATTCACTCCATTGACCAAGTTTCACGTCATAATACCAAGTACCTGCGTTGATGAGCCTTTGACTAGTGATATTACCAGAGCTACATTTCATCTGCTACTACTCATCATTGGGAACCTGCCTGTTGTATTGCTTGTACGCCGTCGGCCACACACCATTTTTGCCCGGCGATAGGATGCCCTTTGGGTCAAGCGCATCCTTGATCTTCTCGCTCAGCTTCATATGCGCACCATTATTAAAGTTGTACGTGCCCGCAACCTGATCCATGAGCGCCAGATGGGCACGGTACTCGCCCCATCCACGATCGGCCGCTTCTTGGATCAGGAGCTTTATGAGTTTGTGTGCACGAGTGCGCATCTCGGGGTCCTCTCGATCAAAGATGATGCAAACAATGTGATGGATTTCGCGTACTCCGACAAGAAACGCGCCGAGGAAATCGAAACCAAACTCTTCGCTGCGACGGCGCGTCAGCTCGTACTGAGCCTCGGCATCGTCTCCAGTAAGCTTGGCAATGGGCGCAAAGAAGAGATGGCCACCGTTTGGCAGCCACGATACCCAGTCCAATTCAGTGATGGAAGGGATGCCCACAAAAGTGTTCTTCCTCGTCTGTAGCGCCTTGTCGTGAGGCCGATCCTCGGGAAAGTAGAACTGAGCGCCCGGGATCTGGCTGAAGGCGCCTTTGATAACCTTCCAGAGGATTTCTCGCACCTCTGGTGGACCGTATATACAGCCGTAAAAATTCCAGCGGCCAAGGCCTAGCTTCTCAGCAATGGCATCAAGCTCGGCGTCCGTTAGAAGCTCCTTGGAATTGGTATAAGAGCTACGGGTCCCCTAGATGCTTCAGTCAGGGTGTGGCACGCACCATGTAGCGCAGAATGCTATACGCACCTCCATAGCCGCGCTGACAAGGATATTGTCCAGCTTTGGCACGTTCTGTAGAACCATTGAAACTCGCAGCGGCCGCATGATCTCGATGATGCGATTCAAATCATCATCGCGGGGAAACGTAATCATGTAGGTCTGCGAGCCACCCGGGTTGGGCATGAGCCAGACACCCATCTTTGTAACAATGCCCATGTTGGATTGAGAAAAGATTCCATCGAGATGCGGGCCGAAACCATAGTTAAACAGCTGCCAGCACTCATTCGGCTCTTGCTCGTGGGGCGGCGCGTTCTTGTCTGCTTTTGGGTTGGGCAAAGCACCCATGCCCGTTCTAATCAATGATCCGTCAGGAAGAACAACTTCCAAACCGCAGTGCATCATCCTAGAAAAGTCAGCCATGTTTTCTTCAGACACTGAGGAGGCAAGCGGCGCATCTTCCCTACCAGTGATCTCCGTAAGGAGTATAACCAATGCCTCTCTCAATAGTGTTTCCAATGACAGATCCGCCACCCAAGTCAGGACAGTCCGCCCAGACCTTGTCTCGCAGCTCATGGTCAACAAGGTACTGGTGAAGATCGAAAAAGGAAACGCCGGGCTCAACAAGAGCATAAGCGCTGTCTGCGTCTACCTTGAGCACCTTGTTCATGTGTTTGCCCATGTCAAGACCAATGCTACCGGATACACGGGGAGCAGCACCTCCATACCCAAGGTTCCTACCCATGGAGAATGGCCAGACAGGCAACTCCATTTCATTGGCGAGGCGCATGATGTCCTGGACGCCGGGGACATCTTTGGGAGCCACAGTACAAGAGTGCAGAAACGTCTTTTTCTCCAAAATGTTGAACATGTCATGTACCTTGGAGCGGTCCATGTAATCTTGCTGCTGAAGCTGGTCTTGACCAGCCACAACAACAAGATTTTCGTCGCCAACAATTGCGCTGGCACGGCGCAGGAACTCATGAAATTTTGCAGACGACGTGCTTGGCGGCAATGAAATGGGTTCAGGATGAGTACGGGAAGCCGGCCCCAGCTGTGAACCACTCGTATTCGACATGATTTCTCTAGGCGTTGATGTCTTGGCAAGTTTTGCTTCGATCAGAGCAGACGTATTCTTTTTCCCCTTTTGCAGGATTCAAGTAGATGAGTGAACTTGAAGGGGGCGGGGGGCAGCACACAGACGACATGCTGGCTCGACTATGGTTAGCAGTGAGTGGTCTAGAGACAAAAATTCCAGAGATCACCCCGCCGCTTACGGTTTCGCATTTTCGCTGAAACAATACGCGGCTCGGAGATATACAGGTTGACTGACCTGCCGAACTGTGCGGAAGGGGGGGCGCGGCTGCTATCGGAGCTTACGTCGATCCCCGCGCCACGGGATTGGTTCGCAAATAGCCTTCAGCCTCGCTAATGAGGGGTTAATAATAACGCAATCAAGATCAAGAGTTCTCTTTTCACGACCTATCTAGGTACTATCCGACGTCCAGGTACCCGCAAAATCCACCGTGATATTGCAATGACACGTTCGCAGGATCAGCTCGCAATATAGACACAAAATGTATTTGGGCTCTATTTTTGAACACTGCGCCACATTCTGCATGTTGTACAAGGCTCGGCTTAGCTGCGTAAGAAATATGCATATTCGGCCGAACATTTGCAACCTCAAGGGATTTCTTCTCTTTTGGTGTATAAATACACCCTCAACTTGAACTGATTAATGCGAAGGCCTACTCGAGTGCCATTATTCCCCTACTGTACAAACATAGGACGCCACAAAAAGCACAAAAGGAAAAAACAGCAAAGTTGGTGTAAAAACAATGACACCTGTTGCAATTGTTACAGGTGCCTGCTCCGGCATCGGGCTCGCCATGTCCAAGGAGCTCATCCATCGCGGCTACAAGGTCTTCATGGGTGACATCAACCCCCGAGGTGGCGAGGTGGTTGACGCCTTGACTCCTTCTTCCGAGGCTGCGCCGCCACCTACGTTTGTCTGCGGAAACGTTGCCTCTTTCGAGGACCAATACGCTCTATTCGAAGCTGCCTATGCCTTTGCCCAGCACATTGACGTTTTCCTGGCCAATGCAGGCGTAGACGACAGGGAGGATCTCCTCGCAGAGCCTACCGATTCTGCTGCCTTTACCGCCAAGCCAGCGCCGTACGACGCAACCACCACCGAAATCAATCTTGGCGCTGTTCTTCAAGGCTTCAAGCTGATGGTGCACTATAGTCGCCGCGCGCAATACGACGCAAAGGCGGCGGGTCTCGCGTCTCCTCCGCTCAGCCGCATGGTTGTCACTTCATCGACCTTTGGGCTCTATCCGTTTCCCACCAACCCGGTCTATTCCGCCACCAAGCACGCCACAAGGGGACTTGTTCAGAGCCTCGGCCGACGGGCCCAGCAGGAAGCAAACATGACGCTCAACGCCATCCTGCCGGCCTTTGTGCCTACGGGTTTAGCCCCCGAAGGACTCGTCGCAAAAATTAGAGACAGAGGCTACCTGACGTCCATGGAGACAGTCGTCAAGGCGCTGGGCTTGTTCTTGAGCGAGACTGCGGAGCTTCCGGATTACGTTCAGAGAATCGAGGTTCCTGCCGCTACTGCGGGAGATGGGCCTCTGACCGGGGAATGCGCGGAAGTTAGTATGACTGAAATTTATTTGCGCGGATCTGTCCCGTTTGCGAATGACAGCCAACGATGGTTCTCGGAGGATCCCGATGGTATATGGCAGAAGAGCTATCAGCAAAAGAGAGCGGCTGATAAGAAGTAAGACTGAGCTACCCAGACCTCTACTTAGCACGTATTATATTTCTTCTTTCAAAAGCCAGCCCGTAATTTCTCGGGTGTCACTGTTCATGCGCGGCGTGGCTTAATATGAGTAAGAGCTGAATCGGACTCGCAACACCTGTACTTGTTCAGGCAGCTCGTAGAGGCAGTGACGTAAAGTATACGTTCGAGGCTCTCTGCCTGACACCATCCTCCACGTCGATATGCCGCAGATTACGCCGAGCAGAGCCTTATTTATGATTATTGGTCCGAATGTGCCTGTCAAAAGAACGGGCATTGGGATGGACACGTCTGCCACAAGCGATGCTTGAGATGGTTAGCCATATATATTGTCCAAGTGTTTCTCGGCAGGCTTTGCTGTCTCTGGTTGATTTGTTTTTTTTAAAAAAATCTTTCAAGAAGAACGTTATTCAGCTTCAGAAAAGACGATGACGGAGCCGAACCTCGCCTTGTTATTGACGGCCGTGCTGTTACTGTGTTTTGTTTTGCGGAAAATCTGGCAGCAATATATCCACTCGCAGTCCCCCAAAAGTAGCTCTGGAGTTACATTCTTTCAGTCCCGCCTGGACTCGCTGAGGTCTTTACGAGGTCAACATGAAGTTGTTGACGTTTTGCTAAATCTTATAGAGCAAGATGGTGCCGGTCAATGGCCACCGCTTGTTGTATATGACGATTGGCCGTCGGCTCTCCAGCCATATAAAAGCATATATCATGAGGTGATACCACAACTTTCTTGCTCCAATCCACTTCTTGATGACGATACTCTCATAATACGTCGCGAGTCATTTCGATCTCGCATGCGAGAGCTTCTAAACGAGCGGATAGACTTGCGCGAGGTGGAACGGCTGCTGAACGCGGCTGAAGCCGGCAACTGGACAAGTCTCCGCCGTGAGCAGCTCAACGGTGTTTATTGTACAGTTGCTGTTTTGAGACACGCATACAGGTAAGTTGACATTGCTTGTTTGGAGAGCAAGATGACTTGAAAAGCTCTGTGCTGACTGATTTGGTTTTGCGATAGATGGGCAACCATTCCCATTGTAAAAGTCGCACAAGCCGAGACCGTGGTAGACTTTCCCGTTCAACTCGATAGTCCTTGGGCACCGCTTCAACGACATTTTGGCTGTGCTGCTGAAAGTGGAAATAATACGGCAAATGTTCTCTACAATTTCAACGTGGACGGCAACAGGATATTCAAGATCAATATTGGCCAGTCAGACGAGATCGAATCGTCCGAAGAGGCATTCTTTCGCATGTTCTATGACATTGAGAAGTTGGTATGAAATATCTTCCAAGCACTACATGGTGTTTTGTTGGTTACTAATTACCAAGGCAGGCGCGCACTGCCTATATTGACATGGTAGACGCGATTGTGGCATTTGAGCAAAAGCGAAAAGCGGACTCACTGCGACACCTCCAGAAACTCAAACCCCAGTTGGACGAAATCTATCAGATATTTTATGATGGCCTGGTTGATGCCAAGGTATCCCGTAAAGTCTGGCTAAGCTACTGCCAAGGCTTTCAGGGTTGGGGTGTAGGCCGGTTTGTCGACGGACGCCATGTCAAGTATGACGGTCTATCCGGGAACCATGTTCTCATCTTTCAAGCAATCGATGCCTTCTTTGGTATGGAACGCTATCTCATCGACGAAAACATGGTCCGATACATTCCTGTCCGTCAGCGCGAGTTTACGAGCGTCTTGAGGCGACACTCTATCCGCGCGCAGATTGAAAAGGGCCAAGATGAAGAGATACGGGCAGAGTTGAGCAAGCTTGTGCATATCACAAGAGTAAGTTGATTGCCATTCGCCAATTCATTCTTGGACCATTTCCACTAAAGCTCTCATAAAAGGTGTTTCGTGCAGCACACAGAATGCGAGTCGTGCCCTACCTGAGGCAGCCAGCACCAGAAAGACTAATCATGACGGCGGGTAAATCCGTATTGGAGAATCAGGACACAAATGGACTTGAAGACGCCTTGGCGCCGTTGAACAAGATGATGACGACTAGGCTGCAAGAGACTGTCTAGCTGTTTCGTCTGAGGTGAACTTCCAGAAACATAGACGATGAAGAAGTGGCAACATGTGAAAAATTCTGGTCAAGATTGTTAGATTATTAGATTGTTAGATTGTTATAGACCAGTCCATCTAGCTTGAAAAATCATGATTCATTCTTCTACTGTAGAAATGTTCGTACTTTTGCGTATCTCCGTAACACGGGCAGAAGTGAGGTGGGAGTCTATATTGCATGAAAAGAGGACCTCAAGAGAGAAAAGAAATGTTGCCGAAAAAAATACGACGAAAATAAGTACAACGAATATGATGGACGATTTGAGAGTATCGCGTTCGTATGACAGTTACGTACAGAGAGTCACGCGGTTTCCTTGGCGGCGCTCTCATGTATGTACTGGAAAATGCTACCTTCTCGTCGCCGCAACTCCTGCTCTGCCAATGTTGTTAGAATAGCAATGGTGTCGCCGCGGTCCATCTCCCTAGTACGGCTCCCAGAATGGTTCGATGCCACGCTCTCGTCGTCGTCGTCCAGGTCCATGGAGCAGCGCGGGGCTGCCGTTTGCTTTACAAACTGCCGGAGCGAATCCCGGAGATTCTGGGCTGTTTGGGAGACTAGTTGCAGGTGGATCTCGGCGGCCGACTTTCTCGATACCTGCAGCCTGATGCCTCCAATGTTGATTCGCGGCGCTCGTTCGGGTGACGCAGCCCGTTGCTGTCGCGCGGTCAGAGAACCCGTGTCTCGCACCTCGTGTCGCAGCTTCTCCATGGCAAGCTCATAGGCCTCAAGAAGATAGCTGTAACAGCCCAATATTAGGAGAGAAGTCATGCCATGGCACTTTGCAACCGGCGTCGGCGGGTAACATAGCCCACTCTTCCTCAGGCGCTGAAGTATGTCGGTCATGTCGGCGCTAAGCCTGTATATGACGTCCATGTCGTCGGTCATGCCGAAAGACACTGCAAGCGACTCTGAGAGGGCGATGAGCTCGGAGTGCGTAGCTACGAGCCGGCCATGCAGGCTCTCGCTCCTGGGCGAGGCGGCAGCAGAAGGCGCCTCGCTGCTAGAATTGGTATCTTGGTGTGGACCGCTGCTAGAGCTTTGGGCGCTGCTAGGTTCCAAGGATGAGAAAAAGTCGGCGGCAGCATTTGAGCTCTCGTTTGATGTTGTGTACGTGCCACCGTGCATCGCCTCGTCAAGGGGGAGAAGAAGCTGCCCATAGTCGTCTAGAGAGGGCTGGTGGTCCCATGGGTAGGCGGCGGTATTCTCTTCTGTGGGGATGTTGCTGAAGAGGTCGGGGCTGCAATCGAACGAGTTGGGCAGAGTGACGGATCGAGTGTCTGCTGTGTGACAACTGTCAGATTCCGTGCCAAGTATAATGCAAAGGCGAGCGTCGAGACGTACCACTCATGGCTGGGGTTGGACGTTGGCTGGAGGAGCTTGACCGGCCTATGCCGCAACCAAGCGGACGGCCGGCCTGGCCGCGCGGACTGTAGTTGCAGACTACACCTGAGCGTATGCACTTGTGGCACCGCTTGGACGACGCATCTTTGGTGCAGCGCGTTTTGGCGGCGTAGCAACGATCGCAGGTGGACCTGATGAGGCTCATGCTGACGCTTTAGGTGGTATCGCTGTAGCATTAGTGGGAGTTCAAGCGGCAATGAAAAGCGACGCTTTTCGGTTCCGAATTTGCCACCTAGTTGTGACGCAAGGCTTTGCAGGCAAGTAGGTACAAGGAAGGATGCAAACTACATTGCCCGGTCTGATTCGAAAGTTCGACAAGTATTGGCGTTTGGTCAGGAGGAAGAAGGGGAGCAGGACAAGATGAAAATCAAGGGAGGAGTAGTAAGCAACAGTCTTTGTTCAAGCTGGCGACGAAAATCGAACAGCGGCTTACTGGGGCCGGGGACGGTAGCCTGATTTGTAGCGTGTAGCGAGCGGGACGGGCGATGTTGCATCTCAGCCGGAGCATGGAGATGCATGGAGCAGGCTCAAGAGCCAAAGAGAATAATGTTGTTAACTTTGGGTTCTTGGACCAGCCATAATTAGTTCCTGCCGCAGGCTAGCGTTTTCCACGGCATACGACGCGTACATTAGCTGCTGAGTCACACAGCCTGTAGCCTGTACCTATCAGCCCGTACCGCATCGCTCGTTTGATGATGTGTTTTACCCTACAGCAGGCATTCGATAACTAATTTTTGGTGCAACATTTGAGCTAAAATAAGTTGCGTTCACCAGCGTCACCCTGGATGGAGTCGCATGCAATTTTCCACTTGTGAGGGGCGACCTTTCGTTAATGATTTATTACTTATTATTTAATCTACAGTGGGTCTGAAGAGATTCCGCTCACGACCCCAAATCCCATAAAAATTTGGCTACTAGCTCTTATAATATCAGTGGTTTAAAAGTAGGTCTTGTAGTGGGATTTTAGGTCACGAGCGGAATTATTTGGATGCACTGTAGTCTTGTATAAACGAGACAGCTGAATTCTATTGCCAAGAATTTTACGGGGTAAAAGCATAAATTCAGCACAATAAATAGCATCTAGCTTATGCTTTTCCTTGCAATAGTGACAGTGTATTTCTGATGAATTCCTTCCTCGGACGACAGGTCTCTCAACGCGTCGTTTATCAGCTGCTCCATCTCGTCGTTGGTAATGTTCAGCAGGCCCAAGAGTTTTCGCATCAGCTCCGGATAGTTTGGCATCAGTTTCGCTTGCACATATCGACCCATTGCCTGACTATTGGGAGTCTTGGCCGACGGAACAAACGAAAACTCAAACTTCTGAGCTGTAATCACCTTTAATCCAGCCATCTCCATGAAAGAGGCCGCGTTGGATCCGGATGCGTCAGAGAGACCAGCTTTCTTGACGGCCGTCATGAGCAGGGCGTGCCATTTCCAGTCATCGCTCAGGCATTCGTCTGTGCCGACGCGATAGAACTTCCAATCCAGGTCCTGATGCTCAATGATCCCTTGGTCCTGAAGCGCAAGGCTGGCGACTTGGAAGTACTTGCGCCAGTCGTTGATACCCAGGAACAACATGCGTCCGAAAAAGTAGCCAACAGAGGTTGGTGCTAATGCGCTCCGGCTGAGGCTGTCGGTCTGCTTCTCAATGTCGACATCCAGGATATTGCCCGTCTCCCATTGCAGTCTGGGCGAGGCAGCAGAAATCGCAGGTGCAGGAACAGGAGTAATGTCAACACCGACCACTTTTGCGCTGGGCAGCAGAGCAGCCAGTTGAATGGTTGCAACACCAGTTCCGCAGCCAATATCGACTGCCTTGGAGGCGCTTGTAAAATGGCGATTGTACGCCAGAAAGGGATCACCCCCAATCATGGCTACTATGGCATCGGCTTGCGCATCGAGTCGATCCTGCTCAATAGCACTACGCGTTACATGTTAGTGAAGAGCTCGATTCAGACTGTGTTTGAATGATCGCACTCATTGGGGAGAACATATGACGATGATGTGTTGTGGTAGCCACGCTCCGTAGTCGTCGCAGCCATTGTAAGCGGGTTTGATCAAAATATTATGTAGAAGAAAAACGTTTAATGCTTCTTCTCTCAAAGTTATCTACATTGTATACTATGCGACAGCGACAAATGTAGAAGAAAAATATTTCTTGCTTCTTCTCTCAAAATAATCTACATTGGACGAGCGACGTAGTGTAATAAAGTATAGCTGCCTTGGAGTATGGGCAATCCGTCCCAAACCCGGCTGGCCAATAGAAATGATGCGGAGGGTTTGGTGGAGCCTAGGCTGGTCTAGAATCTAGCCTTGTTTTGATGGAACACTTCGGACGGGAAATGTTCTGGCCCTTGTCCTGTTCTCGATCTTGAATTGATTGCAGCGGCAGATACTCACGGCAATAATGCGACTCGTCACGCCACTCAGCAGGATATACATTGTTTCAGATGGCCATCATCGTAGTCCGCCAGCTCCGTTCCAGCCCTTCGCCAACCCTCCGAACACAGGGGCGCGTCGGCGCATTTCACCATGATTACTCCTGCCAAGTAACGCAAACAGTAGAACAAAGGTAGTGGGGCTTTTTGGAGGGTAAATCATCAATGAATCTTTGGACGTTGTGCGATTTCTCGTCTTTGCATCGATTCAGGTCCAACTAATCGCAGCAAGTAACTTCCATACAAGCCAGCATCGATTGAGCAAACTGATCTCGCAAAAGGCATGAACGAGCAAATCAAGGACGGCAAAATGCAGTCGGTCAACGAGAACATCAAGACTCCAAGTCCGGTTCTCGTACCGGCAGACCAAAACTTACAGAGCCCACCGAGCACGGAAAAAGATAGTTATGAGGTTGGCTGGGAAGGTGGTGATGCGGATCCTCTGTGCCCTCGCAGCTACAGCACCTTGAAAAAATGGCGAATCGTCCTTGTTATTTGTTTTGTCAGTTTGTGCATGTAAGTTCAAGTGTTCGCGCCGTCAAAAAAAACTCCATCAAGCTAATGCAACATATTCAGGACATGCGCCAGTTCCATCTACATCGCGACATACCAGCAAATGGAATCCGAGTTCGGCAATTCAAGAATGGTGTCTATTCTTGGTCTCTCCCTCTTCGTCCTCGGTATCGCTTTCGGTCCCATGGCTCTTGGCCCCCTCAGCGAATTTTACGGTCGGCGACCCATTTACGTCATTTCTTGGACCGTCTATGTTATTTTCATCATACCTCAGGCTGTCGCCAAGAACATTGGCGTGATCCTCGTTTTCCGTTTCCTTGACGGCTTCGCTGGCAGCGCTTTCCTCGCCGTGGCTGGAGGCACCATTCATGATCTCTTCGACAAGGCGCAGCTACAACACCCGATTTCTATCTTCTCAGTGTCGCCTTTTATCGGGCCAAGTCTTGGTCCTCTGATTGGAGGTTTGATCTGCTCTTACTTGGATTGGCGATGGACGTACTACGTTTTGATCATTTGGTCTTTCGTCTTGTGGCTAGCAATCATCTTTCTTGTTCCTGAAACATTTCGTGAGTTCATGGACTTCAATTATTCGACTTCTTTTCCCAACTCATATTTTCTAGATCCGGTCCTGTTACGGAACAAGGCGAGAAGGCTTCGCAAAGAGACGAACAATGCAGAATGGTTCGCTCCTATTGAAAGAGCGCATCGGTCTGTTGCACATGCAATTGGCAACTCCTTAACCCGACCATTTCAGCTTCTCATCCTTGAACCCATGTGTCTCTGCCTCTGCATTTTTGCAGCACTCTTGCATGGCATTCTCTACTTGTTCTTTGACGCGTTTCCGCTAGTTTTTGTCAACAATCATGGCTTCAATCTGTGGCAAGTTGGCCTATCCTTCCTAGGAGTTGGTCTTGGCATGATCGGCGCCATCTTTATGAATCCGCTATGGAATAAAGCGCGGAACCGTCTTATCCACAACAATGAACAAGAAACGGGTATCGCAGGTGCTAGCGAGCCCGAGTTTCGACTTCCTGCTTCTATGGTAGGCTCGTTGATTGTGCCTGTTGGCATGTTCATTTTTGGCTGGACAACATTCCCCTGGGTGCACTGGATCTTTCCAATCATAGGATCTGCCATCTTTGGATTCGGGTAAATATAAAGGATTGATGTGCAAAAGATGGCAGTTCAGAGCTGACGTGATGAAACCAAACTAGGGCACTATTGCTATTCACTTCTATTTTCGGGTTTCTTGTGAGTTTTCGGGCTTGCTTAATTACTCCCCTTGATCTTTGGAAACGAATAACTAACAGAACCTGCACCAGGTTGATGCTTATCCAACGTACGCAGCGAGCGCCATGGCGGCAAATGGCTTCATCCGATGCATTTTTGCTGGTATGTACATCTAGGCAGTCAAGTGACATCCCTTGTAGTTTTTAGCATCAAGGCTAATCTGCGAGTGAAGCTGTATTCCCGCTTTTCGGCGAGCACATGTATGAGAAATTGGGATATCAATGGGCGTCATCTTTGTTGGCGTTTCTCACTGTTGCCATGATACCGTTTCCGTTTCTTTTTTTCCGCTATGGCAAATTAATTAGAGGCAAGAGCCGCTTCGCTAGGAACTAGTTATCGCTGACTTCGCAAGCCTATGCATAGATAGTTGTCAGTAGGCTGGCCTATGGGAGTCGTGTCAGTCGGTAATACTAAAAGCTGTCTGCCACTGTTTGTGGCACTTACCACTGGCAAGTGTACTGGTGATATCCTTCTAACTAGATACCATTAGCTAAAGAGGCATGCCGGGCATGCGTGACAGAGCTATGGGCGTGGAGATCGTGCGATCGACACACGATAACGCCACCCCCTCTAGCCATTTGCCCCGCCAACCCGCTATCTACATATCAGTAGAAGCCGTACATTCCGAGCGTGGGAAAGAGTAAGCTCGCCATCCACTGGAGCCGAATGCCACTGTAACGACATGATTTGACTGGTCAAGCATCAGTATATCCAGAGTCGTTACGGTGGATGTGTAAAGGAAAGAAATGCTGGAAAATGAACTACTTTAGCCACAACATGCGACAAAACGAATTTCCACGCTAGGATTGGACCATGGTCTTGCCATTTCCGGTTCAACTTCTGGTATAACTGCTTTTCTTGTAAAATTACCTCAAAAGTCTCTCCCTGTGGCAGCGGGTCCATGCCCCTCAGACGGGAGGTGAAGCATTTGTAGCTTATGATTGGATCATGGTCCTGCCAATTCTGGCTTAATTGCCACAGACGTAATTGCCTCTGCAGCAAAGCCAAAGTATATTTGACCTCCACGTCCGTGAGGCAGGGGGTATACGTGCATTAGCCACAGCATGCAAAGATGACTTTCGACTCCGATTGGATCCTGGTCTTACCACTTCTGGCTTAACTCTCATCGGACGCAGTAGAGCATGTCTCATCATCGAGTGTGGGACAGGTATGTGTGCGGCATTGGGCGGGCATTAAGCAGGATCAGCTTAGTCAACACAACAATCGTTGGGAACATAAATACTTTTGCATCTGACTGGGACGCAGTTCGAAACTGGCCAACGTGCAATTAACATACATTCTACCATGCCACCAAGAAAAACAAATACTGCTGCCAAGGCGCAAACCAAGGCACCCGACGCTTCCCAGGCGCCAGTCGACGTGCGAACGAAAGCACCCACGGCTTCCAAGGCGCAAAACGACGCAGCCGAATTACACGCCAAGGCATTCGAGTTCAAGACTACCAATCGTCCAGATGAGTGGAAGATTGAGCAGGGACTGTCGGGAGCTGTGCTGCCAGTCCTGGATATGACCGGGCCTGAGACCAAAGCATTGGACATTCAGACTTTTGGCCCTCTCACCAAGGATGATAAAGCGATCGAGTCAGTGGGCGATCGCGAGAAGCTCTTCACTCGTGAGAGAAAGGGCTGGGTTGGGTGAGCAAACTGTGTAGACTGTTGTTCTGTCTGACTTTGGCTGACTTGCGCCCCCGTTTAGCTTTGTAGAGTGGGAAAACTATCCGGAAAAGAAGGCCGCGGCGCACAAGATCCTTACTTCCCAGACCTTTCCGCCAAACCCAGAGTTCCAACTGGGTCCAATTCCCGGCACGAATCCTGTGCTCCCTGGCACACACTGGAAGATGTGGCATCATGCGATCGGTGGTGAGCTTACCACGGTCCCCGATGATTCATGGGACATTGTCCTCAAGGAAAAACACCCTGATATGCTGCATCTCTTGCAGTTTCCCTACAATGGTGAACCTCCAAAACGATTGGTTACGAATAAGGCCATCACTCCAAATTCCCTGCACTTTGTGCGGAACCACGGTGGCATCCCGATCATCAACAAGGATGACTACAGCTTCGTGCTGGATGGTCTCGTTGCAAACCCCAAGAGCTTTACCCTTGATGACATCATGGACGAATCCAAATACCCACGCATGGAGAAGACAGTGACGATCCAATGCTCGGGCACGCGCCGCATTGAGCAGATTCTCAAGTACCCTGGCCAAGGCGACGAAGTGCCTCAGGCGCCGTGGGCGGAAGGCGCCATTGGCAATGCCCGTTATGTGGGTATTAGCCTCAAGAAGATTATCAAGGCCTGCGGCGGCTTGGTGGACGGCGCGAAACACTTGGAGTTTTATGGTGCCGACACTTACTTTAAAGATGACAAGACCATGAACTATCTTGTCAGTGTTCCGTGGTCCAAAGTCAAGGCAAACGAGGTCATGCTAGCCTGGGAAATGAATGGCGAACCCCTTCCCGCTATTCACGGCTATCCGCTTCGCATTGTCGTCTTTGGCTACATTGGAGCCAGAAGTGTCAAGTGGCTCTATCGCATCAAGGCCATCAAGAACCCTTCGCGCGCCCCGGTCCAGAGTGCAGAGTACCTCTACTTTCCCCAGCAGGTTGGCAAGCACAATTTTAAAATGACGGACGGAATCCAGATCCAGGAAATGCCCGTCAGCTCTGCCATCATGTCGCCGTGGACCAAGCAGGTCTGCATCCACAATGGCAGCATTCGCTGCAAGGGATGGGCATACTCGGGCGGCGGCCGATGGCCAGAGCGCGTGGAGCTGTCCAACGACGGCGGCTTCAACTGGTACACTGTGCCGCTCGAGAACCTGTCCAAAAAGGGCAAGTGGTCGTGGCGCACGTGGGAGTTTGACTTGCCGTGCGACGTTGAGGGATGGGTCGAGATTGTTGTCCGCTGCTGGGACAATTCTCTCAACACGCAGCCCCCCGATGTGCGAACTGCATGGAACTGGGGATTGCACGTTACAAGCTCGTGCCACAGAATTTCCGTGTACAGCGTCAACAAGTCCAAGCCGGCAACGCGGGCGCGACTGGCCGAGTTTGAGGACAAGAAGATACCATTTGGCCCGGTTACTGTGCCTCTGCAGTTCCCGTCTCAGACCTGGGAGGACTATGAGAAGTTCTGGCAGCAACATGACCCTCGTGATGCTGACGACGAGTAAATCTACAGTCAGTCTATTAAATGTGTTATAGCTTGCTTCATAACGAATCTCTCAATGAATTGTATTAGCCTTTTTGAATTGAACAAGTATTCTCGAAACAATTTAATTCTCGTTTCGCGCATCCATGGCTTAGTTTTAGATACCAATAAATGACACAAGACGTATCGACCTTTTCCCCCGCAAGCATTATATCTGCGCTGTACAAAGTTTCAGAAAATTCCTGCTTTGCTGTCTCGAAGCAGCAGCGAAATATCTTGAGCCCTGCCAGCATTCTCGAGGGGGTGAGACGAGCAGATTTCTTCCCTATTTTAGTATTTCCAAAAAGGGTAATACTACCTAGTGATCTCAGCCACCACTTGGTGCACACCCTCCCCACATGAGCTTGCATCTCAGTGTACTCCGTAGTTGGCAGGTAATTAGCGACAGTAGCCCCGCGGATTATTTAGAATGCCAGCTTCAACCCAAGCACACAAGGTGGCAACCAGAGCTCTCAACTGGCGCTTTGTGATGACATTGACGGGCCAGAAAAGCTACAGTGGAGTTGACAGCACAGCGTAGTGCTGGTCGTGAGAATTATGAGCATGGTCGAGGCTAGAATCTCGGGGGCGGGATTTAGCGCATATGATATCATGATAGTGAGGACCACCCGCCCCGCAGTAGCCCTGCGGACCAGAATTGCCAGCATAACCAACATGGCAACCAGTCTCTTTATGATAACGGGTTAATTTTCCATTTTATCTTCTCTTCAGACGGAGAGTCCTTTTTTTTTTTTTTTTTTTTCAACGATACATACACCCCAGCCACTACCTCATATGACACATTGTGCAGCGAACGCGGCCCACATCACCACTTCCCAAAGCGCAGCCAATCTATCGAGCGGGGTATCCCTGTAACCGAGCTTGCCGAGACCATTTTGCTTTTTCTTTGTCAATTATATTGACGTCGGCGTCCACTTGAATAAGCTGCAAGGATAGCTCCGTGACTGGATAGTTGGGCATCATGGGTGAGCTATCGTGACGGCGAAGAACAGAAGGTTGAATTTTGCACAGATGAATCGAGCAATTGTATCATGATGGTACTAGATTGGCTCGGTGTATTGAGTCCATCGTGAGTAAACACTGCAAAATAATGCTGTGCATTTTTAACAGCAAGCCATCTCTCAGGTCATAGCCAATTCGACCTCATTAGCTATCCTACAGCTCTGGCTGGAGCTGCGCGATTGCTCCTGGGAGCTTGCAACTCGAAATGTCTGCATCTGTAAATTCGCAGAGCACCACAGATGCTGGCGACTTCCAGTTTATTACCGAGTCAAACAGTCGAGAACTACGGAGCCATGCAATGAAATCTCATTGGCGAATGCGAAAGCAGCGGGCAAGCGGTCGACGCAGCGCAGGCAGCGGTTCACAGCCGCATTTGCAGCCACTCCGGCCGCGCGTCCATCACAATCATGTTCCAGCGATACATCAAGCTGACAGAGCATCCGACACGAAATCCAGTACTTTGACCAGCTATGACCAGCTCCCTAGCATGGGTGATTTGACACGAGCAACCTCAGAGGCGCTTTGCAGCGCGATGGGAACCCTGAGTGGCGGCCGCCTGGACCCGTTTGACACTCTTCCTGTCAGGCTAGCAACTGTGCATCACAGACTATTGTACCACTGTATGCTGCGATGCCGAATACACCTTGGATTTAGATGATGTTCTTACACTCATCGCAGGGCTTTCCACGAGTGCGACAACGATGCCCCACCATCTCCCAGCTCCAATTCTCAACACAGCGCGAGATGTATGGCTGCCACTTGACTTGTCAAATGCCGCGTCATTTAATATTTGCATGGCTCACGCAGCTGCGCACCTGGCGCGGATCCACGGACGACGATGCTCTACAATCGCTCTGAATTTTAAACTAGAGGCGATGCGAATCATCTCCGAATGGATACAAAACGAAGTAAAAGCCCTCAGCGATGACATGTTTGCAGCTGTCTTGAGACTCTTGACATATGAAGTACGGTCCACACATGGCACTTATTACTATGCTTGAGTTAACATTATTTCACACAGCGACAATGGGGGACTGAATCCGATTGGCAAGTCCACCGTCATGGCTTGCGTCAGATGCTTGACGCTCGCGGCGGCGTTGAGGCACTCGCTAGTAACGGGCGCCTTGCACTGGTTGCAGTTCTGTAAGTACCTGATGGCCGGGCACGACTTTTGATCCCATACTAACAAAAAAAAAACTTTCCGTAGAACAACACTTATGGTACGACAAACGTGGTTCGATTGCTCGAATCACATCTCGGGCTTGCTTGCTCCTCAATCGCTCTACACACTCAGCCTTATCACTGGGGACGAGTCGGCCGCCACTCGCCTTCGGTGTCTGTGGTTTCTTTCACTCAGTCAAGATATGGAACACTTTGTACTCCATTCAATGGAGACAAAGTCCAATATTCTTGCAAATTATCCCCATCTTCAGGATGCATTGCTGCTCCTCTTGGTGGACATTGAGGAAGATGACGTCAACGTCAAAGCCGACGGCCACCACGGCGCAGACATGAGCGATGGTGATTTCAGACGACTGGCATGCATTTTCTTCATTGCCATTCTATACCGATCCTCGATTATGCCACCACTAGAGGCTTCAAGCCCCATTCAAGGGTCGTACATAACCTGTCCATCAGCCCTTTTTGCACTCAACGCACACCTATCAGAATACTGCGACACCTGGCGTTGGGATGTGGAAGGACTTTACATCACCCTCTTTACGGGCTTTTCCTCCGCTGGTGATGGTATACCTGACCGCGACTACGTGTTGGGCATGATATCTATTCTCAGGTCTCTGACCTGCGCCGCTCGCCACGGCATAGAAAGCTGTTTACTGCACGTAATGTGTCAACGCTCAGCCGCCCGGACTGGACATCTCAAAAACATGAACGACTCATAAAAGTTTTACACAGAGTATACAGAAGGGAATAAGAGACTAGCCCTAGCGGTATTAAACTGCCATCTGATTTCAGAATATAAGCAACATAGCCGTTGATTGCACAGGCTCATCATTCTGTAGATTGGCGCCGATAACAAAGCAGATCCACCACCGTACAAGAGCTAGCCCTTAAAACGACGCCGCCACACTGAGTTGCTGCTTTGCATGATTAGCAAGCTACGAGTGCAACGACCAACAGCGCCTTTCTCGATCAGTGCAATCCCCGAAACTTGGCCATCGGTGAAGTCTTTACAGTCAGCCTATCGACGGTCGGCTTTATGCATTTTGGCGAGCGTATTAGCTGCGGCATCCGAGAGCGATCCGCATAGCCTGTCCGAGACAAAACATTGGCTTCTACGATAGCATCCAGACCGGGGCATTGACGACACACGGCCGATATCAGTTTGAAAAAGGATGACATCTCAAATTGATATGCGCAGACGAGCCTCTTTTCTATGTGCTCCCCAAATAGAGTTTCCAAGTACGTCATCGCATCGCTTGCACCCAGCTGTAAGTACAATTATTTAAGTCTAGGTAGCGGCCCCTAATCCGAATTCTCGAATAAACAAACGGCTACGCCCTGCCTAAACAACCTGCTACCACTCTTTTTTTGTTATATACTCTTAATTCACAATGGCAATTCGTACCGTCGGCGTTATCGGCACCGGCGTCATTGGAGCGTCGTGGACCGGTTTGTTCCTAGCCCACGGTCTGCGCGTCCTGGTGTCCGACCCTGCGCCGAATGCGGCAAGCAAGCTTCGGACGCATCTCAAAGGCATTTGGCCTACACTTGAAGATGTTGGGCTGTCGCCCAATTCATCCTTGTCGAATTACCAGTTTGTGGGAGCCAGCATGCAGCAGCACTATTCTGAGCTCGATTTCGTTCAAGAGGTACGTACGTTTATGGCTTGCGCTTTTTGCGAGCGCTCCGCGCCGCGCCAACCCAACAAAAGAACGCGGGCTTGAGCTAACCCGCGCGCATGCAAAAAACAAAAAACCAGAATGCGCCCGAAAGGTTGGATGTCAAGACGAAGCTGCTGGGCGAGATTGACGCGGGAACTCGTCCAGAAGTCACCATAGCGTCATCGTCCTCTGGAATTCCAAGCTCGCAATTCATCTCACAATGCGGCAAAGCGCCAGAACGTGTGCTCATCGGCCATCCGTTCAACCCACCTCACCTGATGCCCCTTGTCGAGGTCGTGCCTCATCCAAAGACTGCCAAAGCTAGCATTGAAGCTGCCCTGTCATTCTACAAGTCGCTCGGCCGGAGGCCCGTCCACATTCGCCAGGAAGTGCCCGGGTTCGCAGCCAATCGTCTCCAAGCCGTCTTGTGCAACGAAGCCTACAGTTTGGTCAGCAGAGGCATCATGTCTGCCAAAGATCTCGGTAAGATAATCTTTTTTTTTTGGGCTCACGATTCCAATTTTATTTTTATTTTTATTTTATTAACAAAAGGACGACTTGGCAGACGAGTGCGTAACGTCCAGCCTTGGACCGCGCTGGGCCGTGACGGGACCGCTAATGTCAAATGCAATGGGTGGCGGAGGAGGAAGTGATGGCTTCAAACATCTCCTTGAGCATCTAGGGCCGGCTACGGAGAAATGGATCGAGGACATGAAAGCCCATGCATTCGAATGGACTCCGGAACGGCTGGCTGCTCTGGCAGACAGCGTCGCCGAAGAACTTGGCACCCAAGATGTCCACGAACTTGAACGCAAGAGAGATGCTACTCTATTAGCGTTATTCCGTCTCAAGAACAAGGACGACACCGAGTAAAGCAATGCAAGTTGGCTCGGAGAGCGGCTGGTTGGCACTGGAACAAGCCCGGTGAAAGTGACGGGAAACAGGGAAAGCTGCAGACCTCTATGGTGTCATGTTATAGTGCCGAGCCTAACGTTTGTTCTCTAGGACGATTATTCTTTCTTTTCCAGCTACTAGAAGTTGATGTGCAACGTGAAGATTTCATGCCACCTGTTCCGCCCTTTACTACCAGCGCCTCCCACACGTAGTTGTCGCGACTCAGGCCCTCAAGGACACTGACATCGTTACGTCATCGCTTACCACACCGTCACGTCAGTTGCCTGCATCTATATTGATAAAGTACCATAAACTAATACTCGAAGATATATTTCCTCGGCTTAGATTTAGCATTCTCGTTAAAAATACGTGGCGGCACGGGTTTAGGAATAGCCTACGTAGTTACGCTATTTTCTGTTAGCTTAATATAAGTTTTATAAGCTAGTAGACATAGAAATTAGTAGTCTTATCGTCACTAGCTCTAAGTGCCCTATTACGCCTTAGTATAATAAACTTAGCTATCTATACTAGTATTACTATAGTAATGCTAAACACTATACTACTTACTAAGGTATAGAAAGCTATTTACTACACGTAATGTATTAACGCTTAGCTACCTAGACTAAGCCCCTTAAAAATATAAATAACTTATAAAGGTTTATATAAAGTATATAGAATAACTAGAAGACTAGCCTTACTAGTATAAAACTATTATCTATTTTTAGAATATAAGTAAGTAAATATAAGTTAAACTTATTTTACTTTAAGTACTATTAGATTAAGTACTATAGAAGTTAATTTCTCTTACTATAGTAAGGTTATAAAAGTACTACTAAAAGTAGATTTTATATTAGAATATATACTTTTTAATAAACTATATTAATATATATTAAATAATAAAAGATATACTTTATTTATAAATAAATAATATAGATTAATATAGTTAATAAATAAGTAATATAAATAAATAAGTAAGAATATTATCTTTAAACTCTATACTATAATTACTTAATAACCTTAAATATAAAATACTTTTAATAAAGGTAATATAATTTTTATTTTATTTACTATTAAAAGATTAATATAACTAAGTATTTATAAAATAATAAAAATTAATAATATTCTTATAATAATAATCTAATATTAATATAATAACTAAAATCTATAATATAATATAGGTAATAAGTAAGTAGCGTAGATAAGTAAATAGTATACCTATACTAGAGAATACTATCTTTTAACCTTATATTATAATTACTTAATAAGCTTAAAT